GCCGACAGGAGAGAGCTCTCCCATTAGCATGATTACTCCACCTCCCCGAGCAGTGGTAGCTATGTTGATGGGAGAGCTTCTCCCGCCAACATAGCGTTGTCCACACCGGCGCATAGGTCAATGTAATTTACGTCACTCAGGGAGGTGGCTTTTTCACACTGTTGAATGACTTAAGTTATACTGAAGTAAGCACTAGTGTGTACAAGCCCTCAGCATACTTGTACAGTAGAACCTCAGAGTTACGAACACCAGAGTTATGAACTTACTGGTCAACCACACACCTCATTTGGAACTGGAAGTATGCAATCAGGCAACAGCAGAGACCAAAAAAAAAAAAAGGGTGGGGGGGGGGGAAGCAAATACAGTATAGTACTATGTTAAACATATGCTATTAAAAAAATAAAGGGAAAATTTAAAAAAAAAATTGACAAGGTAAGGACACTGTCTCTGTGCTTCTTTCATTTAAATTAAGATGGTGAAAATCAGCATTTTCCTTCTGCAAGTTTCCAAGCTGTATTAAGTCAATGTTCAATTGCAAACTTTTGAAAGAACAACCATAACATTTTGTTCAGAGTTACAAACATACCAGAGTTACAAACATCCTCTACTCCCAAGGTGTTCCTAACTCTGATGTTCTATTGGATGTTTAAAACAAGGTTCCCCTTGACTTAATTTGCAAATACAAATGCTCAGCACTTCTGCAAATCAGATGGCAGGTTCTCAAGTTGGACGTGCAGAAAACAAATACACAGTGGCCATCTGAAAATTGCAGTTCCAGTGCAATAGTGGCCGGGCCTCAGTGATAGAAATAGGAATAGAATCTAAATTTTCAAGGTGGCATTTCACAACCTTAAGTATAAGCCCATCTTGTGTAATTCCTGCACTTTCTGGCCTCATTCACCACATACCCTTCCAACTTCCTCAACATACGAGGCAGAAGTCTAACAGACAACAGCCTCATTCATTACACATTCCCGACTTATTCCCAGGGCACAGACTGTCCTGTGCACTGAATGAGGCAAGGGTGACATGGGGAAAAAGTAGTATGTGACTGTGTAATTAAAGACTGTATTATAATGCACATGCACAAGAGGGTTAATTAAGGCTACATGAGCAACCTTAATTATGGCCTTTCCCAAATCTTGAGTGCTTGATTCTGCAACTTTAATGGTCTTTTAACTGAGGGTATGTCTACACTAGAAATGTAAGTTGACCTACTATAGTGGTATAGTAATTACTGAGGTAGTGCATGTCCACACTACTCTCCTTGGGTCGGTGGTGCATGTCCTCACCAGGAGCACTTCCACTGACTTAAGACTGGGCTCTCATCTTCTCTTGCAGCTCCCTGTCGGGAGCCTGGCTGCCCCACAGCCTCCTGGGCTCCTTGCGGGCTGCTGCTCCTCATTCCCTGCTGGGAACAGGGGTAGCCACTCAGCAGGGGAGAGGGAAGTCACCTGGGGATCCCGTGGGGGGAGGAAGCTGCCCAGGGCTTTTTGGACCCCCTCCTCTGCTGAGATCCGGCCAGCCTAGTAAATTTCACGGTTTCTTGCCCCTGCTCCTGGCTGAGAGCATGTGTGTGTGTGGGGAGAGGGGGTGCGAGGGAAAGCCAGCCGGGTTTCTCGCCCTGGCTCCTGGTGACGGAAAAGTAGCCCAGGCTTCTCAGCCCGGCTCCCTGCAGGGTCTAGCTGCAGGGCTTTTCACCCTAGCTTCTTCCCAGAAGTGGATGGGAAGCCACCCAGGCTTCTTACCGTGGCTCCAAGACTGGAGTGGTGTCCAGTCACCCAGCTCTCCAGAGGAACCAGGGCAGCTGGGTTCTAGCTCCCCACTTTCTTGTCAATTTCATGGCTCCTGCCGTGAAACTGACAAGACAGCCAACAGCAGATGTAAGTAACACACCATCTACACAGACACTGCATCATCCTAACTACACCGACATAAGCCCTATGCCTCTCATTGAGGTGGAGTTATTAAGTTGATGTAGTAGGGCACTTACATCAGTGAGAACAAGGATATTGTGTAGACACTGGCAATTGGGTTGAGGTAATCTGCCTTACATGTACTTAACTGTGTAGTGTATACCAGCCCATAGTTATATGTAATTTCCTAAGCGTTTTTAAAAAAAATTGAAAGAACAAAAATTTGAGCACATGGAACTACAGTGGCCTCTTCCACATGCACCACTGGCAGGCTTGGAATCTTTCAATCCACAGGAATGGCCTTTATCGCTTGAGCTAACAGAGCGAGCGGCAGCAGTAGTAGGCTTGTTATCCTCTATGTGAATCTGCGACTAGAATGGGATGGAGACATGCTTTGACAGAGAGTTTCATAGCTATTTGGAAAACATTCAAGATGCCTGAGTTCAATTCCAGGTTCTGTAGGTGTGTGTGTGTGTTATGGTGGTTACAAACTATTCTGCTCTTGCCTCCTCCCCTGTTGCTGTCCCTCCCAGCTTCTTCCCCGTTCCCACTGCTCTTATCCTCCTGCCTCTCTCTCTCTTCTTACTTCCCTCTGTGACGTTGTGCAGTCTATACGGTTTTATAAAAATATAAGTGAATATAATGTAACTGGGATATGCTTCATGCAAAAGGTCTCTGGTAAGGTATCATTATAAAGCTCATAATCTACTGAGTGTGGTCATCCTATTTGTAGAAATGTACCACTCTTGTATCTAAAACTAGAAATATAAAACATAACTCTGAGGGCCTATTGTAATTATGTAAAGTGTGGGCCATTAAGGATGGTTTGGAATCTTGATGACTCCCATTGTCTGCAGATGGCTGTATTTACCTGAGAGTCTTCCTGTATATGTGTGTGCTGGCAAGTGAGTAATTAAGTCTTGCAGTGACATGTGATTATGTCACCTGAACTGGAATCCATCTTTAACTTGGTGCTTTTCCAGTGAGCGGGGGTGGAAACCCAGAGGGACAAAGGGTTCCCGCCTTATGCAAAAGATATATAAAGGGGTGGAAGAGAACAAGGGGAAAGAGGAGCCAACATGAAGAATCCCCTAGCTATCACCTGAGCTGCAACAAGAGCTGTACCAGGGGAAAGAATTGTGCCCAGGCCTGGAAGGTGTCCAGTCTGAGAAAAACTTATTGAAGCATCTCTGAGGGTGAGATTATCTGTATTTAGTTTGATTAAGCATAGATTTGCGCATTTTAAATAAATTTACTTGGTGACTTACTTTGTTCTGTCTGTTACTACTTGGAACCACTTAAATCCTACTGTCTGTATTTAATAAAATCACTTTTTATTTAGTAATTTACTCAGAGTATGTATTAATGCCTGAGGGAGCAAACTACTGTGCATATCTCTCCATCAGTGTTATAGAGGGCGAACAATTTATGAGTTTGCCCTGCATAAGCTTTATGCAGGGTAAAACGGATTTATCTGGGTTTAGACCCCATTGGGAGTTGGGCATCTGAGTGCTAAAGACAAGCACACTACTGTGAGCTGTTTTCAGGTAAACTTGCAGCTTTGGGACAAGTGATTCAGACCC